AGGAACTCAATTGCCGTATCAAGGACAGCGTCTCGGATTCCAAGGCCACGGAAGAAGCTGATGGCATGATTGATCGAAGTCTGGTCTTCGTCGGATTTAAAGTGAATCTCAACAAGCAGGGGATACCCATATCGGTCAAGAGCCTTCCCAGCGCATAGCATGATAGCAAAATGCTCTGAAGCCTATGTGATCAGATGGTTAGCTATGACTAAGACAGGAGCTAAGATAGAGTGATTGAATTACCAGGTAAGCGCCGCGTGAGACTTGGTCAGGTTGCTTGAGTAGGCCACGGTTATTCCATGTATGGCGCCGACCACGCTCAAACACAGACACGTCGATCCGCGGTTGGGCGATAGCCTCAATGTTGGGGAGGTCTTTGAGCTTGAGGCTCTTAAGATACTCAAGGAATTGGGACTGAGTGGAACTCGACATGGTTGCGGGGATGTAGGTAGAACTGTTGAAAAAGGAAAACTGGGAACTTGGGAAACGTATTGCGATAGGTAAGTATCTGATCAGGTGGTTGACATCTGGATGCAGTGGTTGCGATCAATATTGGCGCCAGGGAAAGGGGTCGATATCCTGCAAGTGAGGGAGATCGTAGGTAAGAAACCGTGGATGGGAGTTGGTAGATGGGACCTGTCTCGGTGGTGGCCAGGGATGCAAGTAAAGGAGTTGTAACTGGTGAGCGCGCGATAGGTAGGCAGCGGATCAGGTCGGTAGAGTGTAGCAACAACAGTCTCAATCAAGGAGACCGGCGGGATGAGGTGGCGATGGCCTGTAGGTAAGACTGATGGTGAGTATGATATGTAAGGCGCAAAGAGAAGCTGGCCAAGATAATAAACAGAGACTTACCTTGGATGAAGATGATGATCGCAGGGAATGGCCGAGCAGCTGATCGGATAATTGCTGCAAATGGGCATAAGCTGTGATAAAGATGCAGGAAAAGGGATCAATAACCAGAAGATAAAGGCGATAACAAGCAGCAGGTCGGCAGTCAATACCGCTGAAAATCACAAAGAGAATCTGATCAGAAGAGTGGCGAGACAGCGCGCCTTGATAGAGGTGAGATCTTTGTGTTGAAGGAGGAAGAGAAGAGGTGTGAGTTTGTAGACGAGGCTCCTGATGTGTGGTGGGAAAAAGTGGGCCCTGATTCACGAACAATCTGCTCAACTGAACAACACCGAGGAATTTGAACAACAAGGCAGCTTTATTTTCTTCTTCTCTCTTCTTCCCCCTTCTCTCTTTATCCTCTTTCATTCAATCAAGGCATCTGTTTTCTGCTGGCTCGATTGCATCCTTGACCTTTTCGCCGTTTGTTGTTGTTTGCGACAACCATCTTGATTGTTAACACCTCTCTGCAGATTGCATGCCAAACTTCTGACGATTGTGAGTGTTTTACAGTGCAATTATCTGATCAAACAGCTGCAATACGGCCTACCTATTTTGCGTATTTATTACGGATCATTGATACCGACACCTACCTTGACTCTTTCCTCCTCAAACTTGCCGATCAAGCGCTCTAATCAACCAGAAACATCATCTGTCCTGGGGCGCCGCCTTTTTCTTAACTGTAAGTCTCTTGTACCGCGACCATCTGATCATTTGCTTGCGATGGGGATTTTTCTCTTATTTCCCTGCTTTCCCTGTTTTTGCATCTAGAAATCGTCTCCTCCTTCAACCCTCACCCTTAACTCCAACCACATTCCCACATCCGCATCGCACCCAGCCCAAGCATGAGACTCCGATATTCTCATTAATCCGCAGTCATCTTGCTAACCTGATTACTACAGACATCAGAAAATAACCCATCGAACCCTTCATTTCGACCTCCCACGAGCCCCCCGATTGACCGACTACAGTTAACCCTGCTGCGACATCATCTGTCCTGGGGCGCCGTCTCTTATCCAGCTGTGAGTCTCTTCCATCG